CGCATCCCTCACCTCCCCCGCCTCCTGCCTCTCCCTCCTGACCACTAAAGGGATGGACTGAGAGGCTGTTTGGCACGCCCCGGGAACGGATTGAAGCATTCTGCTGGGGCCTCTTACCTCTGTAGAGGATCACAGTTTGTTTCCCCCAACACTCTGGGTAGTAAACTCAAGGGTGCAGCAGGAGCGTGTGAGCCTGTGTTAGCTGAGTCCGTGAGCACATCTGTATCACCCCCTCCACATGCTCCGCAGCGCGTCTGCGTCCCTCGCACCCTTGGCAGCGCTGTCTCCCTCTCGGAGGGGGCGTTTGCTCACGGGATCCTGCTGCGCAGAAATGGCCGCGGCTTCTCTGAGCCTGGCTCCTCCTGGAAGCTGTTGGCGAGCAGGTGGGATAATCTGTGCACACGCTTAGATCAGGCCCTCAGAGAGGTCCCTGCTTCTTTTCAGAAACTGTCTTTATTGTTGAAAGTGTTACACATGTCCCCCTTTGTTCTCACTGACCCCTCCACTCACACCTGCCCGCCCCCAGGCCTTCACCACACGACTGTCTGTGTCCGTGGCTTATGCATGTTCGTTCTTCGGTTCATCTCTGCTTCTTGTTAGTCGTTCTACTCGAATTGGACATGAGCTTCAAAAACGAACACACACTCAGTCCACACTGACCCGTCAGACACCCCCTGAAGCGTGAGCGGCATCCAGTCTAGTTGTTCTCAAGCCTTTCCTGCCACCTGTAACCTCTGCCCCGGGCTCGGGGTCGGGGTCGGCTGCTCTCCAGAGCTGCCCTGGGCCTTTCTCTCCCGTCCCTTCTTCACTGACAGCTCGCTCTGAGTGCAGGCAGGTGGGACCTTCTGTTCCCCATATCTGTTCTGCTCCCTGAAGTCCTAATCCTGCCCTCAGTCCCCTGCCCTTCCCGTGAGACCCTCGCAGGAGCCCGGCTGAGGGTTAAGGGAAGAATCTCAGGGTGCCCAGGACTGGGCTCCACAGAGGGGGGGGGCAGCCACATGTCACCCAGCTCACGGGGCCCCCACCTCCGGTGCTGCCAGCACTGCCTGTGGCTCCTGAGAGCTGCCTGGTGAAGTCCGACACCCAGCAAAACTGTCCCCTGTCCTACCAGCATCCCCGTGAGACCCGGGTTTGTGTGCCTGGTCAGGACTCTCTGTGCCTCTGAGGGCCTCCCATGGCCCTGGCTCTCGGCTGAAGAACACACTCCACCTCAGTTCTTTGCATCTCTGTGAAGGGCGACAGGGATTGAGCAGGGAGTTAATGTGGTTTCTTGGTTCTCATGAGCTCCCTAAAGCTTCAGGTTTTAGTTCTGGAATGTCAGGATTAGGTATACCTAGGTACAGAACATGGCGGGTAAAATACAGAAACCTAGTTAAGTTTGAATTTCAGTTCAAGGAAGTATAAATGTTAGTACAAATATGTCCCAAATATTTCATGGGACAAACTTACACTAAAATTAGTTGCTGTTTATCTGAGTGAAAGCTTAACTGCACGCCCTGCATTGGTGTCCTCTCGGGGCCGCACCCTCAGGTTGGAATAGGCAGCTCCCAGGCTGCCCTTAGCTCGGCCACATCCTGCCCCAAGTGGGGTGGGGGTGGGGGGGCAGGCAGCCACGCCCAGGTCAGGCCCAGCCCTGCAGGGAGCTGTGCTCTCGGCCCCCTTAGATCTGGGTGTAAAATGTGAAACTCAAGGATGCGATCTACTTGGAATCGTCCGGTGCTGACATTCTCCTAAAATGGACGTTTCTCTTTGCTCCCCTTTAGGGAGAAGCAGGTCCCACCGGGGCCCGAGGCCCTGAAGGCCCGCAGGGGCAGAGAGGCGAGACGGGGCCGCCGGGGCCTGTGGGCTCGCAGGGCCTCCCGGTAAGTGCCAGGCCCTGCCACACGTCCTGCTTGGCTGCCAACCGCGTGCTTGCAGCTCAGGAGAAGATCAAGTTCCCTGGTGACGCCAGCTGCGTCTATGTGATGGAAAACGTCATCAGAGTTACTTTTATGCTGTGGTGGTCGTTGAGTTTTGGGTGGTAACTTATGGCCTCCCTTTTGGGAGATGGTAGACGTCTGAGAGGGCCCCCTAGACATGGCTGCTCGTGTGATAGACTTTTCCTGTACCTTTCAGGGCGCAGTGGGGACGGACGGTACTCCTGGCGCCAAAGGCCCGACGGTGAGCACCTGCGTTTCCGCTGCGTGAAGGTCAAGTGGACACGGGGCTTTGGCCATTGGCGGAGGCTCCTCCGGTCTCTGCTCACGGGGTCTCTCTCACTCTGACAGGGTTCTGCAGGCCCCTCTGGGCCTCCTGGACTGGCAGGGCCCCCCGGATCCCAAGGACCTCAGGGCAGCACTGGGCTTCCAGGAATTCGAGGCCAACCGGTAACGTCCTTTAGAACCGCTGCTGCCGCTGGTGTAATGGGACTGAGCTCGCCAAGAGGGACAGCATCTGACGAGATGCAGTGAAAACCGGGGCGTAACTGAACGAGGCGAATGAAGACAGGGATCTTACAAAGTGGAAGCAAACGCTAACACGAGTGTTGAGGTTTAAATTCAAAGTGGAGCATCATGTTAGTGGTTTTTATGTAAAATAGTACGGCCAGAACTTCATGTTCTAGCTCATAGAATTTTACGAGCAGTTGAATAATAAACATTATAGAAACATTAGCAAGCCAGTGGGGGGAGATGTGGAGGTTTAATGGGAACTTCTAATGATGATATGACTAAAAATGGATTCAACAACTATTTCTTGAGAGTTATTCTTCTTTTAATTTTTAATTTAGAGAGAGAGAGAGAGAGAGAGAGAGCATAATACAAAGAACATTTAAAGCACAGTAATAAGAAGGCATATAAACCCAATAAAAAATGGGCAAGAGCTAAGACTATGCTTAGCTTTGTAAGAAACTGTCAAACTATCTTTCAAAGTATATGTAACATTCTGTCAGTACAGAATAAAAGTTGTTTCTGCTTTATATCTTAGCCTGCATTTGATATTGTCAGTTTTATGGATTTTAGTCATACTAATAAGTGTGTAATTGTATTTAATTTAGTTTTACATTGTATTTGCCTAATTATTAGAGGGCTAGCATCTTTGCGATTTGTATACATTGCATATGTTTGTTCTTTCGAGAGGTATTTGTTTAGCTTGCTGACTATTTTAAAAATTGAGTTGTTTTCTTATTGTTGAGTTTGTGGTTCCTTTTTTGATATAAATAATTGATCAATTACATTATTTTTAAATGAAATTTATAGAGATTACATTGTTAATAAAATTATATAGTTTTCAAGGTACAATTCTATGATATATTATTTGTATACTAGAGGCCTGGTGCACAAAATTTGTGCACTGGGGGTGTGAGGGTCCCTCAGCTCGGCCTGTGCCCTCTCATAGTCCGGAGCCCCATGATCAATTGCCTTAAGGGGCTCCATGATGGATAGCCCCAAAGAGGTATGCCCTGCCCACCTGGCTGGGGCTCTGCGATGGATCACCCCCGCAGAGGGAGGCCCTGCCTATCCGCTGCAGTCCACAGGTCGATGGCCTGGGCCTCCCTCTTTGGGGTGATCATGGAGCCTCCTGATTGATCGATCACCCTTCCAGCCGGTGGCCTGGGCCTCCCTCTGCAGGGCGATCATGGGGCAATGGCCTGGCCCCCGACCAATCACATTGCACCCACCTTGGCTGGCCTGGCACCAGAGGGTATCATAGCATGGTCATCCAGAAGGTCGTCCGGATGGTTGTTCTGTTGTTCAGTCATTAGGTCGATTTGCATATTATGCTTTTATTATTATAGATTACATTGTGTGCCCACCACCCAAAGTCAAATCTTCCATCGCCACATAACCATACATTTGACCTTCTTTACCTTTTACTATACACCATACTGTTGTCTGTATCTATAAGATTTGGTTTGTTTTTCTTTCCCCCTACCCCAATTTTTATTGACTTAAGATAGATATATAGAGAGAAACAAAGATTTGTTTGTTCCACCTATCCAAGCATTTATTGGTTGATTCTTGTATGTGCCCTGACAGGAATTAAATCCCTGGTGCACCAGAACAATGCTGTAGCCAACTGAGCTAGCCAGCCAGAGCTGTTTGTTTTCCTTGTTTGTTTATTTGTTGCTTTTAGTTTTATATTCTATATGAGTGAAATCATATGGTTCTTAATTTTTTCTATCTGACTTATTTAACTTAGCATGATATTCTCAAGGTCCATACATGTTGTTGCAAAGGGCAATATTTCATCTCCTCTTATGGCTGAGTAGTATTCCCTTGTATATATGTACTCATCCTTTTGTTTTTTAAAATTTTCTTATAATTTTCTTTTTAAAAATAAACCATATTTTTATTGTTGACACTATCACAAGCATCCCTTTCTTCTTAATCCAATCATCTATTAAAGGATGTATCAGTTGTTTTAATGTCCTGTCCACCATGAATAATGCTGCATTGAACATAGGGGTGCATCTATCTTTGCTAAGAAATCTTTTCAAGTTTTTTGGGGTAGATACCCAGAAGAGGCATTGCTAGGTCATATGGTAACTCTACTCTTAATAATTCAAGGAGCTTGCATACTGTTTTCCATAGTGGTTGTACCAGTTTACATTTCCACCATCAGCAAATGAGGGTTCCTTTTTCTCCACAACCTCTCCAACATTTATTATTACTTGTCCTCTTGATAATAGCAATTCTAATAGGTGTGAAGTGATATCTCATTATAGTTTTGATTTGCATTTTCCTAATAGCTAATGAAGTTGACCATGTTTTCATATATCTGTTGCCCATTTGTATGTCTTCTTGTCTGTTCAGGTCTTCTGAACATTTTTAATTGGATTATTTATTAGTTTGGTGTTGAGTTGTATGAGTTTGATGCCTTTTTTACTGTTGTTGTTGGCTGTTTCTTTGCTATGCAAGAGCTTTTTAGTTTGATATAGTCCCACTCATTTATTTTTGCCTTACTCCCCTTGCCTTTGGGGTCAGATTTATAAAATTCTCTCTAAGACCAATGTTTAGTACCTATGTTTTCTTCTATGTAGTTTATTCTTTCAGGTCTTATATTTAGATTTTTTGATCTATTTTGAGTTAATTTTTATATATTAGTATAAAAAAGTAGTTGTTTCATTGTTTGCTCTTCTTCAACATTATATTGGCTAGTCTTTTTTTTTTTTGGTCTTCTCATATAAACTTTAAAATTAGTTTGTCAATACATACAAAATAACTAGGTGGGATTTTGATTTGAATTACAGTTATTTATAGATTATAAAACTGAAATCTTAATAATATTGAATCTTCCTATCTATGAACATGGGATATCTCTCTATTTACATAGTTCTTCTTTGGATTCTTTCACTGGAGTTTTGTAGTTTTCCTTATAGAAGTTTCCTTATAGGAGTGCTAGATTTATACCAATATCTTTCATTATTATAGGTGCTAAAGTATATAGTGTCATGTTTTTAATTTAAAATTCCACTTGTTCAATGCTAGTACATAGGATTGTAATTGGCCTTTGCATATTAAACTTGTATCCTGCAGCATTACTATAGTAATTCATTAGTTTCAGGACTTTTTTGTTGATTCTATTGAATTTTATACATAGATGATCATGTCATCTGTGAACAAATACAGTTTTATTTTTTCCTTTTCAATTTTTATATCTTTTATTTCTCATCTTATCTTAAAACATTGATGAGTACTTCCAGTACAATATTGAAAAGGAGCTGTGAGAGGAAACATTCTTTCCTTGTTCTGGATCTCAGTGGGAAAGCTTCAAGTTTCTCACCATTAAGTATGATGTTAGCTGTAGGATTTTTGTAGATATTCTTTATCTAGTTGAGGAAGTTCTGTATTCCTAGTTTACAGAGAATTTTTAATCATGAATCACTGTTAGATTTTGTCAAATGCTTTGTAGCTATTGTTATGGTCATGAGCTTTTTCTTCTCTAGCCTGTTGATGTGATGGATTACATTAATAGATTTTCAAATGTTGAACTAGACTTGCATACCTGAGATAAATCACATTTGGTTGTGGTGTATAATTCCTTTATACATTGTTGAGTTCAATTTGCTAATATTTTGTTGAGGATCTTTGTACCTATGTTCTTAAGATACATTGGTTTGTAACTTTCTTGTAATGTCTGCCTGATTTTGGTATTAGGGTAACGTTGGCCTCATAAAATAAATTAGGAAGTATTTTTCTGCATCTTTTTTTTTCTCTTTTTGGAAGCAATTATAGAAAACTGGTATAATTTCTTCCTTAAATATTTGGTTAGATTCACCAGTGAACCCATCTGGACATGGTGTCTCTGTTTTGGAAGGCTATGAATTATTTATTCAATTTGTTTAATAGATATATGCCTGTTCAGATAGCTTGTTTTTTTCTTGTGTGATTTTTGGCATATTGTGTCTTGTAAGGAATTTATCCATTTCATCAAACTGAGTTGTTTGTTTATACATTTGCTCATAGCAGCTTTTAGTATCCCTTTAATGTCCATGTGATGTTTAGTGATATCTTCTCTTTCAATCCTGATATTAGTAATTGGGATCCTCTTTTTGTTTCCTTTGTTAGCCTGGTTAGATGCTTATTACACTTACTTATCTTTTCAAAGAACAAGTTTTTGATTTTGTTGATTTCTCATTTATTTCTTATTTTCAGCTTCAGTGATTTCTGCTTTAACTATTTTTCTCTTCTCTGGCTTTTTATTCTTTTTGTCTCTTCACTTCCCCCACTCACCCCAGTCTAAGTATGACTTGTCTAGGTGTAGGTCTTTGGGTACTTATTTATTCTATTTAATATCGTATGAGCTCCCTGAATCTGTGGTTGGTGTTTATCATTAATTTAATGAACTTTTCAGTCATTATTACTTAAAATATTTCTTCTTTTCCTTTCTCTTTTTCTCCTTCTTCTAGTGATTCTTTTATGTATATGTTACAGATTTTATAATTGTTCCATAAATCTTAGGTATTCTGTTCTACCTTTAAATTTTTTTTTCCACTTTGATTTCCATTTTGGAAGTTTCTGTTGACACTTGTAAAAACTCATGTTTCTCTCTTCACTTGTGTCCAGTCTGTGATGAAACTGCCAAAGGCATTCTTCAATTTTGTTATAGTGTTTTTGATTTCTAGCATTTCCTTTTAATTCTTTCTTAAAGTTTATATCTGTCATCACATTATCCATCTTGCTTCCCTCTCTTTTCTTTAAAGCCCTTAGCATATTAATTATAACTTTTAAAAATTACTGGCCTGATAATTCCAATATCTTTGTTATATATGAGTCGGATTCTGGTGCTTGATCTGTGTCTTCTACTTCTTCTTTTCTTTTTCAATCTCCCTTGCTGTTCTAGGTGTTCCCTAGAGACTTATGTAAGGTCTGAGATGTGCAGTTCTTCAGTTGTCCTCCCCTTTTAGTTTTTAGGAGTTCTATTGATATGAAAAATGTGTGGTTGGAGGGCAAACATTCTATGGTTCTTTGATTAGGTTTCTTGCCTTTAAGAAGCCTCTGTCCCTGAGTTCTGACTTTTACAAATGCTTCCAAGTCCTCACACCCTTCCTTAGGTCAAACAGGAAGGGTTGTTGATTTTCACTTTATCCTGATTTTTTATTGTTGTGTGAATGGGAATAATGGCTTTCAAGTTTCTTACATGCAGGATTGGAAACTAGAAGTTGAGTTTATTTTTTAAATATATATTAATTAATTATTTT